GCAAAAATCTGCTTCCTTCTCTTTGTGATGTATTATCATTCATTTGATTTGGGATTGGGAAACATTTTTTGCAAGTTCTCATTGTTTTTCTATTGTGTATTTTCTGGTAAGATTTAAGTGCTGATGAAACTTTTTGTCACTATAAAAATGAATAAATAAAAAGCAGTCACTTCCTGCTAGGTAAATGTCTTGGTGCTGTAATCATGCATGAAATACTTGGGAGTGCTGAAACGCACTTGGGTTTGTTTGCATTGCAAGCTGTTATTTTGTTAGGACACAGGGAGGCAGTGACATGGAAACACTCATTATTTGAAGTAGTCTAGAAAGGCTTTTGATCAGTGTTCTGCTTCAGATCTGTGTTTGATACATCCAGCTTGGCACTTGAGTATACATACAGCTATACCTATGAAAGCATTTGGCATGTCCTGTGGATTGTGTTTGGCAATAACTCTTTGAATCAGTGCATGGGTGCACAGCCAGGTATCCCCTAGGCAGATAGGGAAATGAAGCCAGGGCAAGCACACAACCTGCCCAAGACCACAGCAAAAGAGCTGAGATAAAAACATAGCTATTTTTGATGCTAAAATATATAGAGAATCACAGACAGACTTGGGTTGGAAGGCATCTTAAAGTTCATCTGATTCGAGCCCCTCTGCCATGGCCAGGAACACCTTCCACTAGACCAGGTTACTCAGAGCCCCATCCAGCCTGGCCCTAAACACTTCCAGGGATGGGACCACCCCCAGCTTCTCTGGGCAACCTGTGCCAGGGCCTCACCACCCTCATTGTAAGGAATTCCTTCCTAGCATCTAATCTTAATCTCTTCTCTTTCAGTTTGAAACCATTCCCCCTTATCCTCTATATGTCCACGTAAGAAATCAATCCCTTTTTTATGTAGATACAGCTGTAAATCCCTGCTATAGCAGCAGCTGCACGCAGAGATGTGCATGTAAACATGCAGTATCCTCCCACACACTGCAGGAGAGGGCAGGGTCCTTAAGGATGAGTTTAAGGGACTCTCAGCAGTTTTCCATCATTCCTGTGCATGTCCCTGAGCACCCACCTGCCCAGCCTTCCATGGACTGTCAGTGGTCTGTGAGTGAACTCACCCAAGGTGCAGCAACTCACCAATAAATTAAAAACTCACAACATATAAAGTGCTCTCAAAGCCACCAACTATCAAAACCCCAAAGATCAAAAACCAGAAATATTGTTGTCACTTTCCTTGTACTAAGATCAGCGCTGCTGCTATTAGACCAGCTGTGCTTTTATACCCATATCTCATGAACTGAAAACGCCAGTGGAGATGAGATATGGCTGTATCCTTCTAAAACTCTGATGTTAGGGTCCATTCTACTGCAAAAAATGTATCCAAGGCCATGTCTGAATGGAGCTTGGAGGAATCAGATCTAGGTGAAGGTGTTCTTGCCCATGATGGGAGAATTGGAACTGGATTATCTTTGAGTTCCCTTCCAACCCAAACCACTGTGTGATTCTAAAATAAATAGCATGAGTCCTGTAAGCCCTGCAGAAGTTTACTAATTCTTATGAGGTGCTGCTAACAAAACCACCTGGAAGCTATCCCCATCAAAATTAAATAAAGCCTGGCAAAGAGAGCAGGGCCCAAGGTAAAAAAAAAACAGTCAAATGTACTCACAGCCTTGAGCTGTGAAGGTGCCTAAGTGAACAGCTCATGCATTTTAACTCCCTTCTTCCTGTGCTGCAGTGCTCTTGATTTTGGGGTTCTTTGATCCACCTATTCATAGCTGCAAAGTAAGCAGAATTTAATCAGGCTCTGACATGGCATGGTTGATTTTAATACCAGCCTTCAAAAAATATCTGTCAATCAGGGATGAGCTTTAATACCTTCAACCTAGAACTCCTTTACAGTTCTGCTGCAGTTTAGTGGTGCTTGGTCAGCAGTGGAGGAGCTGGGCATCTGCAAAAGGCACTGGGGGTCATCTGGGCACTATTGGTGGAGTTCACAGGGGCTATTCCTCTCTAAAGGGGTGGTGTGGCACACTAATGAAGCTGGCAATTCCAGGCCACATGAGAGGAGAGATTTCCTTGTTGAATAAGGAGTGGCTTTCCTAACTGCACGTCCCAAAAATCCTGCTGAGCTTTTGTGGGCCAGCAGGCAAAGTAGGTTAATAGTCACTTGGATTAAATCTTTCCTTACTGTAGCTGGAATGGGCATAGTGAGGACAAGGGTTACTTTCCCTGCCTAATCTCCAGCTATTTTAGCTGGGGATGTTAGATAAAATAGTCAATGACTGGCAGAATGATAGAATAGGGGTTAATTTCAGATTTACTATCTGCCAACGCATGCCATTCAATCAGATAAACACAGGATTTCAGCTGTCATCACAATATCTTATGCATACTTAAAAATAGAGCAGTTTTTCTCACATCAAGAAGAAATGGAACAGGTTTATATATAGGATGTGTACAATCAGGAGGCTAGAAATTTTGAAATAGTCTGCCAATTCTAGAGAGATTCCCTATTTTTAAATTAAGAAATTATATTAGAAGTAGTAGAAATTCTCACGGAGAAGTTTTATCATTGCCAGCTGCACTGAATAAATAAAAGTAAAGGGAACACCTTGAGAAGCTGGATGATGTAGAATGAGGCAAATTTCTGTAGGATTTTCAGCAGAGAATATGAGACTATGTAGAGATTCAGAAACTTCTCTGTGTGGGAATATCTTTCCTCCTCTGCTTTATACATTTCCGTCCTTGCTCTTTTGTCTGTTCTGGTTCATTGAGCCTGTCACTTTTAATGCTTGAAAGTCCGCAAGGCAGAGAGGGAAGATGACAATCTAGCAACACCCCAGCAATATCTCAATCCAATTTTCACAAGAAGTGTAATTTAAGCACTTGCTGATTAAAGCCTCCCTCCTGGAAACACCCAGTTTAGGCAGAATCATGGAATCATAGAATAGTTTGGATTGGTAGGGACCTTAAAGATGATGTCAAAGCTCATGTAGGTAAAATGTAACACGTCTTGGCAATGATGCTTTACGTTATGAATTTGTGAGTATGGAGACGAGTATGGCTTTTTGGCTTGAGCACATAACTAGTATTTGAGTTTTTTATTATATCCCTTTTGAATAGCAGCTGATCCACGGTCCAGAACGTTTTTAAGATCCAGCCTGGTTTGTTTACAAGGGATGCACAGAACAGCTTGGCTCTGTAAGCATCATATGAACAGACAGCAGCAGGCACTTTTCTTGCTGAAAAATCTGCCGATAGGCCTCCCTGCAAAGCTCTGCTGCCTCCTCTTGTGCTCACAAGCCTCCTTCTTCCTTAACACCAACATAGCTTGTGCCTTCAGTCTCACAGAGTGTCATAGAATCAGTAAGGTTTGAGATCTCCAAGGTCTTCAAATTCAACCTTTGAGTGAATTCCACTTTTCCCACTAACCCATATTGTAAAGTGCCACATATACTCATTTTTTGATCATTTCTAAGGATGGGAGCTCAATCACATCCCTGTGGAACCTGTTCTAGTGCTTAACCACTCTTTCAATGAAGAAATTTTTCCAGATAGTGAACCTGAACCTCCCCTGGTGCAACTTGAGGCCATTACCCCTTGTAGTATTTCTAGTTTTGATATTATGTACCTAGTCTGATCATGCAGGTTTTGTCATCACCTTTCATTCCAAGATGTCCTTGTTAGTAGCTGCTGGTATTTTCCAGCATAAGTGGTGCTTGCCTGCTCTCATCCCTTTCTGTATTCTACTGGGCTGCACCAAAGTGAGCTCAGAAATGATGTCCTGAGCTGCTCAGCATAACAGTGTTTTTGAAGCCAAGCCTTGGACTTCACTTCTACAACCAGCTGCAGTAAAAGGACAGCATTTTCTACTGAAGATAAGGGAAAGGATTCACATCTTGAGAGCATTCCTCTCACTGTTTCCCTGCAGGGGGAAGGCTCATGATTTTTCTAGCACATGCAAAAGCACTCTTGAGGACTTCTGCTATGACAGATTGTCTTATGGCCTGTGGAGACACCATGACAGCATAAGATGCCAAATTTCCTATTGCTTGGGCTTCATCCCTTTTTTGGTTAAGCTCTTATGCACATCAGAGATAGAAATGATTTCTGGGTTGCAGGTCCCTCAGCTCAGCTGTAAGAGGGTCTTTTTGTTTTTCCACAGCACCCCTCCAAGCTGGGTTTTGGCTACAGAGGCATTTTGTGCTGTGCAATGCAAATAAATAACACAAAGCTATTGCAAGGCTGAAGTCCAGTGTGGGTGTTTGTCAGCCTTAAAGGTTTTAAATTTCTAGATTTTGTTTTGTTTAGCTTTTTGTATTACTTTTGGTCTGTTTCAGAAAAGCTTTTTAAATACAGTGATCTCCCAAAGAATTTATTTGAACTCATTGGTGGGTGGTGCATACATTATGGGCTGTGGTTTCATTGATATGCTCAGCCTCACTAAGTAGATGGCATATTAAATGTTTTATTTACCCTGTGTGCTACCTGTCATCTAATCAGCTTTTGTGTTTCTGCTGCATTCTGTTTGTATTACAGTGAGAATAAGTGGTTTAATGTAAATTAAAACCACATGAAACCTTTTAAAGCCATTTTAAAATACTAAATGGGTTTGCAAATAGGTTTGTCGGACAAGGATTGGAAAAAGAGCTCTTTGCTTACCCATTTACTCTTCTGTATGCTTATTAGAAGTCCCCATGTGACTTTTTCATCAAACATTGCATCCCAGTTCTCATCTGGAATGCCAAAGTCATTTATACTGTGCTTAAGAGCAGTTTGCATAAACAGGAGGCAGTTAACAAAGAATACAGTTGTGAGCTGCAATTGCAAAGGTTATATTATAAATTACAACACAGATGTACAATAAAGTCAAGACATTCAGCCCTGTTTTCTTGTTTGCCTGGAGCATAAAAGCACACTGGCTTAAAAGTTTCTTTGCCTTTATTGACTATTGTTGCCAATATGGATGATTGTGATACTTTCACTGTAAATCATTTTGTTTCTTACAGGTGGATCGTATCATCTTCTGCGTCTTTTTGGAGGTTGATTACAAAATTTTCAAGAAGAAAATGGGCGAGTTTTTCCCTCTAGGTAGGTATAGTAATCAAGTACCATCTGACTTTAAAAAAGCATGCAGAAAAAGTGCAACTGTTGGCATCTTTTCTTCTTTCCAAAGCCAAATACTGAAATGTGAACTTTCTTTAAAGATCAGCTGCACACAGAGGCTCTGATCCTGGACAAATGCAGGCATTTAAAATGTGTGAACTATTAAAACTACTTCTAATACTGCTTTTGTATGCTCAGTAATCTCTTCATTCCATGCTATATATGTATCTTCTCCCAGAATGGGGTGCATGGCACTGGCTCTCTTGACTCTTGAGAAGGAAATTATTTGCACCAATGTATATAGCTCCTAGTGTATATTGCTTTTCCATACACTTTGTACACACTTTGGTCTTTCATTAACAATGCTGGTAAGGTTTCTCTGGGTCTGAAAAGACACCACGGGGGTTAGAGCCCAACTGTGTCTGAATGAGGACTTTAAACTTGAGCTGTCCCTGTGCAAGAATGAATGGGAGAAAGATGGCTCTCGCTGGAGCACTTGGGAAATGTTAGCCATTCATCTTGGATTTCACACAGGAGGTTGCTTTCTAGATTTAAGGAAACCTGGTGGATAGTAAATTTGCTGATCCCCCTCCTCCCATAAACCTGTGATTTATTTTTACCGTACATCACGAGAAATCTGCTCTCCATAATTTTATCAACCCTAAAACTCCTCCCACTTTATTTTGCTTTGTGCTTACAGCAGTCCAACTATATGTGAAAAGATCCAGATTTTAGTGTTTTATATCCCAATACTCCCCATGCTGTCTGTCTAGTGGAAATGGCCCTGGAGTAATAGGAAGCAGAGCTTTGGTGCATTCAGAGTCCCATTAATTTTACAGGACTGTGTTGTCACTGTAGCCACAGAGGTTTTCAGCTTTTGCTTTGTCTGATAGCATGGAAACTGTGGTATTTTTGTCTCATCTCACTAGAACAAAGCTTTTTTTGTAGATTACTTTGTAATCGCCAGTTTGCAGTGATTGGCAGCTGAAACTTGAAGACCTATTGAATTATTCAGGTAGCATTGAATGATGTCTGACCACTTAATAATATTTTTGTCTGGAGCATGCTGAACATGCATTTCAAGAAGCTGCATTCATGTCTAATCCATTCATTGAATGATTTTATTTTTTTGTCAGCACCCAACCCAAAGGATAAAGTGGCAGTACCCTGCCTACTGTTGCTGGCTGTGTTACTGCCCTTCAGATTAAGTGAGAGAAGAATATACATCAATTTGTCAACAAATCAAGAGTATTAATGCTCACTTTCATCTCTAAGGCCTTGGAAATCATGGTATTAAGCCTGGTGTTGTTCCTATAAATGTAAAATCCACTTGGGTTTGAAAGTTTGAGAGACAAGAAGATGCTTCAGAGCTGTATCATGACAAGCCCAAAGTCAGAAAGACAGAAAAGTGGAAGATTCATTTAATTTGGATTTTTTTTAAAAAAAAACTGATATTGTTGAACTCCTGTCTACAAAGAACCTGTGCAGCTGAGTCTCTTGTTACAGAAAAACATGTAATTGCATTACACCTCATTATGTAGATGATCTGCCATACTATTTTTTTAAAAGTATGTTTATTCACATGTATGTAAAGGTTTTATGGCTTTTTTGCTCAAATTAAAATTGAGATTCTGATATGTGACCATAGACAGGTGGTCATCGTAGGGACCCTCTAAATCCAGTGTTTTGCATATGTGGCTATACAAAAGGTTCATCCAAAATTTACAACCATCCAGGGAAAGTTTAGTTCCCAATATACAAAATTTAGATAGATTATTATAGGATTAGGTACAGATTATTAAAATACCTTAGGGCCCGTTTTCATAAACTCCTGGTTGCAATTTTCTCATAACGAATACTTCTGATTTTGATATGTTACTGGGCATCTTCTGTCTGATCAGCCAGAGTCTTAAAAGGAACCAGTTTAGTTCTAAAACTTTATTCCCAATGCAGTGAAGGATTTCCTGTGGGTGGATCAGTAGCCAGGGATCCAGGAAGTTTTTATTTTAGTGGTTTTTTTTCTATCTTAAGCTCTTCAACTTGTGAGGAGAAAGAGAGAGGCAGGACTGTCTTCCTAAATGACTCTCCTGCAGTGTCACTGGAGAAAGGGTCAGTATCTGGGTCTCTCTTCTGGAGTGCCCTAACCATTAATGGACAGTCTCAGGCTTTCCTTGCCGACTTAAAGTAATAACTATTTATGTATAGAACTCCAAATGACACTTTTCCACAGTGTACCATCACTGCAACAGATATCAGCTGAAGTCAGCCCCATGCCAAACTGCCTGCTGGTGAGAACATCAGCTGAAGGTCCGAATGGAGATCGCCAGATGACCCTGGTCATCAGAGTCTGCCATTTGTTCCTTTTTTCAGATGTCTTGGAAATTGCCATTTACATTTAACGTAGCAGACTTGGACAAGTCATCAGCAGACTCTCTTACTGCAGAGATATCCCATCTCTCTGCAGGACTCATTTCCTGCACAGAAGACTTAGCTAACATGGCTCTGTGTCAAGGAGTTAGTAACTGCCTCTACCTTTGGCAGTAAATTCCTGATATTTCTACTGCGGAAGAAATTAATGAAGCTGGTGTTTTTGTTTTGGTTTAAGGGAAATCTATTAATTTAGTGAAATTGAAGTCTTTAAGGATAGATTTGCCCTAAATTTAAACTGATAGGGCACTATCTAAACACTCACAGGAGAGAATAACACTGGCTGTTGCTTTAAGCTTAGAGAAAAAATGTCAAGGCATTTAAAAAGTGCATCTTGCATTCAGAAACATTGTGAAATATATCTACTTTAATAGATGTGGACAAAAATGCTTGGAAAGGAGAATATATTCATGGAGTTATATACATAAATAGTTATTACTTTAAACCCACTGCATTAATAAATCCAAAAATACATGCAAGTGCTTGAGCTAGTCAAGTGATAATGAAATGAAGCTAGAATTACACCTCAGCACATTAGAGTAAGTGGAATATAGATATAGGGAAATTGTTCCATTAGTTGAACATATCATTAGGCCTATTTTGCAAGTGGAATGCCAAAGAAATTAGTCAAGTAATAATATTGATATCAAGACAACTGCCAAGAGCCTTGTCATTCTCAAACTTTAAATATATAGGGGGAAGAGACGGACCTCGAAGTAATGTCATGGCTTAGCAGTGTAGCAAAGTTGTGCAGTTACTGAGCAATTGTAACTGTCTCAGCGTTTCTGATTCAATCTCAGTGGTTACAGAACCCAAACCAGAGTGAGAATGCTCCAAGGGGGAGCAGAGCATCACTTGGCTTTAATTCAGACATAGGTTCTCAGTCAATGCTGTCCAGAAAAGTCCTGCTTTGGTTAAGTAAAGGGTCCTAGTCAAGGCAGAACTTTCTATTGATCCTCTGGGGTTTTGCTGAGAAGATTTTGTATATTCTAGTAAGAAAAGAGCAATAGAAATAACAACTTTATTTGCTTAAGATGGATCACTGTTTTAATATATTAAACAGTGCCACAGTGATGGTTTTTTTTTTATTTTTTATGAATTGAGTCCTACCTCCTTGTGCAATGACATAGCCCAGCTATTCTCCCTTCACCTGTGTTGGAACATTCTCTCTACTTAAACTGAATGTCTTTCAGGCAAATAAAGTATCTTTGCCTGCAGTTCTGGCTCATACATGTAGTTCTTACATTGCTGGGTTCATTGCTATTAGTAGTATGAGTGAGTTTTCTGGGAAAGGAACTGCTACTTAGATCATTTTTTCTTCTGGAATGCATTGTTTCTTCTAATAGAACTCTATATGGAGTCCAGACACTAGGCATTACTTTTCTTGGTAACTATACATATTTATAAGCCTTACCAGAAAATGGAATCCTTCTTGAAAAGCTAGATTTGCTAACATTTATGTTGGAGTGATACATACTTCTAGGATTCTATACGTAGAGGGAAAATTAAGAGCATTTGTAAATAGTTGCCAGCTGGAGCAAAGATACCTTTTTTTCTTTTCTTCCTGTATTCTGTGTACACAAAGCTACTTAATAGGTCAGAGAGATAATCTTGTAAGGACCTTTGGCAAATGCTTATTTTTCATGGTGGCTGTCATATATTATAAACGGTTTATCTTCAATTGTAATGCTTAAAGTATTTCTAAATCTACCACCTGTTACCAGCGGATTGGAGACGAGAAACATTTTTTTCCAAAAGCTTTTTTTTTGACAAAAAAGATGCTATAAAAGCGATATCCTGTGAAGCTCCAGCATCCAAGGTTATATTACTTTTCGCTACTTCAAACAGAGTAACAAAATTACTTCACTAAAACGTTGCAAAATTTTTTGTAGAAAGGACGTTTGCACTTTCATTGGGCCAGTTGACAGATGGAAGGTGCATGCTTTTAGACTCATGTCCTTTTAAAGCTAATGAAAGGATGCTGATCCCAAGAAAATTTTTCTTTCTTTTTTTATGGTTTTTTTTTTTTTCTTTTTTGAGCCATTATCAGTTTGTGTTAGGAAAAAGAGAGAGAGATTGCTTCATCTTGAGAAAACTTTCTATTCCCTCTGTTACAGGTTATGATATTTAATGCATTTTCTGCTTTCATCCTGGTTGATGAAAACACTGTTTCCCCTACCCAAACCATATGAATGAGAGCCACTGCCTTATAATAATTCTCCTATCACTTGAGGAGGGTGCATAGCATCCCACTTGTGGATAAAATGTGCAAATACATTACAATTGCAGAGGAAATTCATTGTTAAGAGATCTCCCAGGCTTGGAATCAAATTGGAAACTGTCTAAATGGCTGAATGAAGGCCTTTGTATTAAAAAGGCCAATCTCTGCACTAATACGTGAGCGAACTCCTAAGCAGGGGCTTTAATTTCTGTACTGGTACTGAGAGACATCGCACTCTCTGCTTACTATGGCAGACTTCACTGGGGCTGGAGCATTCCTCTGCATGAGCAGAGGAGTCATAAGTTAGCCCTTAGCAAGTAATCCAGTATCAAATGGA